AAGACTCTGACTTAAAAAAAAAAAAAATTAAATAAAAAAGAATACTATTGACTAAAATCGGGGGATGGAAGAAAAATGGGGTAAAGGAGAAAAGGACATGGCAGGGAACCAATAACTATTGTCAAAAAAAAGAGGGAAAGAAATATATAAACAAGGGAATGAAGGTGCTATAAAGGTATATTGCTAAAACAAAAATATGATCTGATTGGAAGAACTATACATGTTTTTAAAGCAAAGCAAACGGACCAGCAAGACAAAGCCTTTTCAAGCATGTGCATGTGCTTGCACAGGTAGGGGGGCTGTGTCTGTCTGAGACTGCCCCAGGAGGAGGCCATGGACATACGCACCATCATCCAGGTGGCCCCTCACTCAGAGCCTCTGAAGGCAGGATTGGGATGGCATGCCTGGGACTGGCCACCCATCCACTCTCACCTTTCTGGCATCTTCTCAAGACCTCTGGTTCCTTAGCTCCCAGAAGATCCATGACCCACAGCTCCTCCCCTTGCTCCAGCTGGGAGATCAGTTCCGGCTTAGGGACAGGGAATCCTGTTGAGGGTGAGGACACTGGGTGAGCCAACGTGGCCTCCAGGCCAGGTGAGTAAAGATGTATCCTGTGTGTGTGTGTGTGTGTGTGTGTGTGTGTGTGTGTGTGTGTGTGTGTGTGTTGGTCAGGGGAGCTCATGTGCTGAGAGTGAGTGAAGGAGAATCCACTCATTAGTTCTCCTGCCCCTGGAGACACTAATGGGGCCACTGGCAACAGGAATGAAGTCCCTAGAATTGGGAAGCAAGGAAGGACCTCCCACGGGGAATGTTCCTTCTGCAGAGATGAGATTGGTACCTGGGGACAAGGGGCAAGACCCTTTTCTTTGGGATCCAAAGCAGCCTCCCAAGCTCCTTAGAGGTCCCCCACTGCAAACCAACGAGGCCAGGCACAGAGAGCCTCACCCAGGGAGGCCATGTTCCCGTAGTTCTCCAGCATCACATCCCTGTACAGCGCCCGCTGCTGGGGGCCCAGTTGCTGCCCCTCCGCCTGAGAGAAGTACACGGCCACATCCTGGAAGGTCAGCGGCATCTGCTCCTGGAACAACACATCGTCACTGCCCCAGGGCCATGCCCACTGGGTGGCGGACTGTGTTACAGGGGACTTGGCCTAGTGGAGCCCCACCACCCAGAGCCCTGCTGCAGTCAGTATGAACACTGTACAAGCAGGTCCCTGAAGAGAGCCAAGGACTAGCTAACTTCAGCCATGGGGACTCGGCTGAACTCAGAGCTCCTCTCGCTGGGGGAGGCTATGAGTCCACACCTCAGAACCCTTTCCTTGGGGGTGCTAGACTACCTGGCTTTACCAGCTGCTGAGCTCACAGCTCCAGAGAGCAGCTTCTGACTGGGGGAAGGGATGAAGATGTTGGAGGGGGAGGGCAGGGAGGAAGCTTAACTCACCTGAGGCCCTAGAAGCTGCCATCTTGGGCACATTGGCCACTGTGGGATCTGAGGGAAGATAAGAGGCTGCCCTGGCCTCAGGTCTCCCCACAACTTATCCTCTGCAGGAAGGGGAACCCAGAATCAGCCCCAGTCAGCAAGGAGTGTGGAGGGGTGGCCAGGAGGTAGAAATTGATTCCTAGTGTGGCCTCCCTGCTGGTGAGAAATGTTACTTATATAAGTTGTAAGAGGCAGGTCATTACACAACAGGAGCCAACATGTGCCCTACTGCCCAGCTACTCCCTAAATCCTGAAACTGCAGGAGTGAGAGCCCCGATGAGGTCCAGTGACTCCCAGGTAAGGAGTGAAACCTGGCAGTTCCAGTGGTCCACACCAGCTGAGGGCTCTGGAATAGGAGAACAAGGCCGTTCTAGCTTCCTGGACCAACCTGTGGCAAACAGCAACACGAAGGTAGAAGGTCGTGCAGCCCCCACCCAACAGGGCTGAGGATGTGGGAAGGGTGGCAGGTGGGGTGAGCTACCGAGGGTCCCTGGCTCTAAGTGAAGCCAGAAGCCTGCTGTCATTCTCAGTCTGTGCTCCCAGCCTCTTAGGTCCGCCTAAGCTGTAATCACCTCCTCATTCTCCCAACAGCCTCCTCCTGGCCTCTCCAGTTGGTTGGTGGCTCCCCAAAGAACCGAGGACTAAAGCTCCTCCTGGACAGGGCCGCCTGCCTCCCAGCGCCCCAGGCACTTTTGCAGGGCTGCCCTTTCCTCCAGTGCCCTCGGCATGACCCAGCGACCTGGGCTGAAACCTCCCCGAGGTTCCCTGCAGTGACCCACCTGCGTGCCCCTTCCCTGCCGACCCATCAAACCGGCCCGCTAGGCCCTGGACCTCTACGGTTGGACGTCATCCCACGTGCTCGCTCGGCCCCGGCCGCCCACAGCCCACATGGGCTGCAGGCGGAGCCCGGGGGAGCCTCGCCTCCGGTCCCGGCCCACGGACAGGGAGAGCTCTGCACGCGCTGCGCAGCCAGGCGGAGGGAAGCCTGTACGCCAGCGCCTCCACAGCACCCCGCCGGGCCCCAGCAGGCGAGCCCGGACGCAAAGGGCGGGACGGGGCGGGCGCCCCAGCCTGCGCCGGCAAGTCGCCCTCGAGGATCATCGCGAGAAACGAGCTGAGGCCCCGTCCCCAGCGTCCGGGGCTGCTCTAGGAGAGCGAGAAGCTACACTGTCTATGGTTAGCGGATTGTGGCGGCGGGGGTGCACGAGGTGGGAGTTGGGGAGAAGGGTGAGGAGGGGAGGGAGGGCCCAGGAGTGGAGGACGGGGGAGGGGGAGGAAGAGAAGAAGGGAGGACGGGAGGGTGGAGTGGACAGATGCCTGGGCAGCGAGTGGGGAGGAGGGAAGGGAAGGAGGTTGGAGGAGAGAGAGGGCGGGTCAGGGTTAGGAGGGAGCAGGGGGAAGAAAGGGAAGGAGGAGGGGAGAAGAACAGAGGGTTGGGGAGGGAAGGAAGGAGGGAGGAGGGACGACCAGGCCATGGCGTCCACAGTCCAAGCTGCGTGCGCACCTCTCGCTGGACTCCAGCTTCTGTCCCAGTCTGTCCACCACTCATCATATATTCCTCTTCATCATAACAGCAAAAAAGTTGCATATGAAGATATTCTAGTAGAGCATGGTTTTAAAAATAGCACTTGGTAAAGTTGAGGAGGTAGCGTTGGGGGTGGTGGAATAAGGGAATGAAGCTAATGACGATCTTGTCTCCCATACACTGTAGACTGCGAGAATCAAGCCTCAAATTTTAGGTCTGAGCTTGAGGTAGTGAAGATGGAGACTGTCTAAAAGTCTAAAATAAGCACCATGGACACTCACACATGATTAAAAAGCTGCCATACATCATTAATAATCAGTGCTGGGAAGGAGATGGTGGGAGTGTGATTAGTACAATCTTGAAAATGAATTAAGTTGTATATAAAGATCACTTAAACACGTAAAGTAATCTAGGAATCAACCCTAAGGAAACTGTTGGGGAATTCCCATGCCAGTTCTGCTTAAAACCACAAAGCAGCTAAGTAGAGCAAGTAGGTAGAATATACACCAGCTAGCTGAAACCAAACAGTTAAGCAGAGTTATAAGCCTGTCATGACTGTACTGCTTGTTATAAACCTATCATAACTATACTGTTTGTTATAAGCCTATCATAACTGTACTGCATGTAAAAACTGCTATTAATTGGCTAACTTTTAATCCTTTTACTAATTGGTTAACTTTTATACTTGTGTGTGTTACTGGATAAGACTAACCCCCCCCAAAAAAAGTATAAAACCTGACAAAAACCCAGAAGAGAGGTGCTCAGATTTTTGGAGGCTTGACCTCATCCAGGCTGCTGGCAATAAAACCTGATACTCTCCAACTCTCTGCGTACTGCTTGGTTATTCCCCTGGGACTGGTCACTGTAACACTTGCGGTAACATTTGGATCCCTGACCGGGAACCCGACCATGCTGGCCCCTTGAAGCCACCAGATGGGGGACGGACAGCGGGACCTCTGCGACTGCAGCGAGTTGGCGCACCACCCGCCTCTTTGTGCTCTTTGTGGAGTACTCGCTCCTTGGGACTCCCTGCTGGCCGCCCGAACTCACCCGGACACGATAGAGAGAAGGACCAGTCATACCGGTCTGGAAGTCAACTAAGATAAGGTCCCGGGACCCTGTCTGGCCCACCAGACAGGGAAGAGTAAAGGAAGAGTGGCTTCCTAGGTGGAAGAGGAGCTTGATCACCTCCTAAGGTTAGGGACTCCCCCGGGCGGGAATGTGCTAACCTCTTGTCTGTCAGTTTGAATCTGTTTGAGTCTGGTGAGTGAAGCTTGGTGACTGATTGCGGTCATCGGGTCCGCATGGCTTCGCCTACGGGATTTGAGTGGGTCCCACGGCTTTGGCTACGAGATTTGAGTGGGTCCTAACCTGCGGTTCTGTGGCGGCGGCGTATGGCATAACGGCGATTCACTCCCTGTAATAGGGAGTGACCGAGCCTGGGGTTTATACTGGTACGCCTTAGCCAAGATGCGCCTAAGCTCCCGAGAGGGACGCAGCCAGGTGGACACCTGAAAGCCCTTACCTTTGTCTGTCTTTCGACACCGTTCAAGGGTTCATGACAAAAGGGGAAGGTCAGGAGAAGGGAGAAACCCTGAAACAAGTGAAAGGAGAGTGTTGTCAGTGCTGTGATAAAGAAAGGAAAAATTGCTGGTTCAGCTATGGGCGGGTCAGAGTCCAAACCAACGGTCCTAAGGTGCATGCTGAAAAACTTCAAAAAGGGCTTCAGTGAGGATTACGGGGTCACCATGACACCGAGCAAATTGAAGGCTTTGTGTCAACAAGAGTGGCCAATGTTTGGAGTTGGTTGGCTGCCTGCAGGAACTCTTAACCCCCTTATTGTGGGAAACGTCTGAAAGGTAATAACAGGGCCCCATGGCCACCCAGATCAGTTCCCGTATATAGATTCCTGGCTGGAAATTGCCAAAACCTTGCCTTCCTGGGTTCGGTTCTATGTAGACAAGGGACAGTGCAGAGTCCTAGTAGCTCAAGAGACCAGAATGCTTAAGCCTGTGGGCCGGATACCACCCATCCATCAAGAAGCCTCCACTGAAGAGCTGCTGCCACCTTACCACCCGTTGCCAGAGATGCTTCCAAGGCCATCCCCAAGGGCACCAGACACCCCGCCACCGTCAGTCTCCCCACCGCCAGATCCAGCCCCACCGGATGACGGTGCTTTGCAGGAAAGCGGTACCCCTGTCGCCCGCCGTCTGCGGTCTGCACAGCCCACCGAGCCAGCCCTCCAGATGCCCCTGTGAGAGATGCGAGGCCCGCCGCAAGTCCAGGATGACAGGACCGCTCAGCCAGGACCACTGACCTTGTACTACCAGCCCTTCTCAACCACCGCCCTGCTGAATTGGAAGCACCACACTCCGCCTTACTCTGAAAAGCCCCAGGCCCTCATCGACCTCGTGGAGTCCATCTTCCAGATGCACCGGCCAACCTGGGAAGACTGCTGTCAACTCCTGCTGACCCTCTTCAACACAGAAGAGAGACGACGGATCATCGGAGGTGCATGAAGATGGCTACAAGACCGAGCACCAGGAGGGACCCTAAACGTTGAGCAGTGGGCAACAGGGGCGGCACCAAAAGCTAATCCAGGATGAGATTTCAACGACCCAGAGGGACGGGCGTCACTTGAAAGGTATCGAGATGCTCTTCTCCAGGGAGTTCAAGAAGGAGCCAAAAAGCCAACCAACATCAACAAGGTCGCCCTGATCACCCAGAAGCCAGAAGAATCCCCCCACGACTTCTACGAGCACCTCTGTGAAGCTTATCGGATCTACACACTTTTTGACCTAGAAGCTGCAGAGAACCAGCAAATGGTGAATGCAGCCTTTGTCGGACAGTCCTCTTCAGACATCCGGTGAAAACTCCAGAAACTTGACGGGTTTGCAGGGATGAACATCACACAGCTGATGGAGATAGCCCAAAAGGTGTATGTCAGCCGAGACCAGGCCACTCAAAGAAAAAAGGACCAGAAGATGAAAAAGAAAGCAGCGCTCCTAGCAGAAGCCCTCGGGAGCTCAACCCTCAGGAAACCAGGTTACACCAAAAAGCCCAGTCCT